GGAACGTTCTAATATACGTTCTCAATCTTAGAAATATAATTTTGAAGTGAGTGCTGTTGAAATAGACTATTGCCTTTTTAATTGTGTTGTGTTGTGGATTTATCTGACTGGACGTGGCTCTATTAATGTTTTTATGTCCAAACTGGATCTAATACTTGATGTGCTAGTCTCCGAAGGTAAGGCTATAATATTAATAGGTGATTTTAATACAGATTTCAAATCAAATGCATTAAGTAAGCAGAACTTGGTGAATGTTTTAGATTCTTATGGCTTACCTGTAACTGTGAATCATTATACAAGAGTAACTGCAACTAGTAAAACTCAAATTGACCATATTGCTACAAACATAAATCACCCACAAAAAACAATGTTTGTGGAAGGTTTGATCTCTGATCATCGTGCGCAAATATTCCAATGTAGCATTAACACAGACAATGATGCCTATATATTCATCCGTTCATATAGTGAAAGGAACATAAATCGTTTTGTTCAAACCCTTGAGTCAACAAATTGGTCAGAGGTATTTAATACAATTTCTGCTGAGGATAAATCATTAGCTTTTTTAAACACTATCCAAAATTATTTTCGGTCCCATTTTCCACTACTTAATGTAAACCTAAAAAAAGTACACAGTCGAATTGGTTTACGCAGGAACTGTACAATTTAAGGGATCAGCTAAAACTTTTAGAAACGATCTGTTAGCAAAATAGTAGTCTTAGGCTAGTCCTTCATTGTGCAAAGTCAGAATATTCAATTAAATTAAAAGCTGCTGAAAGTAGTCACTTCATGAGACAGTTAAACCAATCATCAAATAAAATTAAATGTATTTGGCGTTTAGTAAACTTAACAGTCGGGAAACAAAATAACTCAAAAGTACCTAGTGATGATAACAGTAATTTAGCAGACAAATTTAACCACCATTTTGTTGAAATGGCTCCAAAGTTACTTGCTGCTTTGGATCATAATAAAATAGATGGGTTTACATCAGCATAAAAAACCGTAATAGTTCTTCTATGTTTTTATATCCAACTAACCCACAGGAAATAACTAGTATAGTCGGAAGTTTTAAATCCAAACACAGTTGTGGTTTTGATCAGATTTCCCCTCAGTTATTAAAACAATGCATTCATGCTCTCGCAGATCCACTGACGGATATTTGTAATGCCTCTTTTCAACAAGGAATATTTCCTAGTATGTTTAAACTATCTATTATAATCTCTTTATTCAAAAGTGGTGATAAAGATGACCTTAACAACTATCGTCCCATAAGTCTCTTATCTATGTTTTCAAAGATAATTGAAACTCTAGTTTATACTAGAATGAACGGATTTCTAAAAAAGCATAGTGTCTTGCATAATTTTCAACATGGTTTTACATCTTCTAAGTCTACAACTACAGATCTTGCAAATTTCGTCAACTGAGTGTTGGATGCTTTGGACAGACGAGAGAAGGCATGTGATTTATTTCTCGATTTGTCCAAGGCTTTTGACACTTTGGATCATAATTTGTTGCTAATAAAACTTGAGGGGATTGGTATTCGTGGTATAGTTCTAAAATGGTTTACTTCCTACCTAGAGAATAGAAGACAAAAAGTAAAGATAACATCTAATGGACTTGTAAACGAATCAAACACATATCCATATCCATATCCATTATGGTATCCTTCAGGGTAGTGTATTGGGTCCTCTACTTTTTATAGTATTTATTAATGATATAACTTTGGTAACTAATTCACTGACTGGGGTTAACATTATCAGTTATGCGGATGATACCCACATTCTAGTCACAGGAACGTCTGATCAAAATTTGCAAAATAAAACTTCACAGATACTACTATCCACCATCAAAAGTTATTTCTTATCCAACAAATTAGTTTTAAATTAAGAGAAATCAAAGTATATGATTTTCACGTCAAATAATTTATTAAACCATCAAGCCACTATAGAAGCAGCAATAGATAAAACAGACTGCACGAAGTTGTTGGGGGTAGTTCTAGACATTAATTGTAAATGGTCAAACCACATTTCTAATTTGAAATCCAGATTAAGTAGCGCACGTTATGCATTAAGAATTCTTTCACGTTTCTTTCATACATCAATATTAAAAACAGTATACTTTGCCCATTTTTACTCAATAGCCAAATATGGCATTGAAGTCTGGGGTTCAGAAAAGAGCTATTAGGATAATGTATAAAATGAAATTTAGAGATTCTTGTAGAGGCATCTTTAGACAAAACAATATTCTAACAATTCCTGGTCTGTATATATTTTCGTGTATAATGTATTTGCATAGCAAAATTTATGAATTTAATAAATTTCAATTTAACCATGTTTATTCAACAAGATTCAGAGACAATCACTTTATGCTTCTACAACATCGTTCTGTTTTGTTGGAAGGTAGCACACATTATACAGCCATAAGTTTCTTTAACAAATTACCAATAGATATACGAATGAATTTACATCAGCCAAACTTTCGGAGGTGTGTACATCGGCATGTACTTTGTATAATGTCGCATGTGATCAATAAATTTGACGTGACTTGACTATCATCTTCTCAGTATTTGCACATGGTGCAAGTGAGAGAAATCGGTCTATATGACTGAGGAAAGTTGAGGTGTTTGGCCATATTTTAGTTCAGGACAGGTATAACTACGGATGTGTTCCATTGAGTGGGAAATATTTACGAGTAGCAGATAGAATTATCTAGAGGCATGGAATCAGGTTAATCAGGATCGGAACATACGGAAAACCAAAATACTTGTAATAAGTAAACAACAGCATATAAAACCATCTATATATCTCTATATTACCAAAATTTGAGCAAGTTGATAAAATTGTTTACCTTGGACAGCAATTAAATTGTAATGCAGAAAGTCACAACGAAATAAGATCTAGGATAGAGCAGGCTCAAGCTACTTTCAGAAAAATGTCCAATGTATTATATAACAGAGACCTAAAATTGACATTGAGAAACCACCTATTTCGCTGCTACGTATTCTTGGTCTTATTTTATGTTGTCGAGTCCTGGACTGTGAATTAAATCGATCTAAATCGCCTTGAGGTTTTCGAAATGTGGTGCTATAAAAGAATTGTAAAAGTTTCCTGGGTGGAGAAGATTCGAAACTCCATAATAGTAGAACGTCTCAGCAAGCCTACTGAGATCATAAAAAGCTTCAAGCAGAGAAAGCTGGAGTATTTTTGACATGTAATGAGAGGTCCCAAATATAGGTTACTACAAAATATCATGCAAGTAAAAATAGCAGGCAAACATAGTCTTGTCAATTGATTAAACGCAGTCTGTATTTATCGAATTGCGAGATCACATTGAGAGTTCCACCAAGGTACAACTTTATGTTGTGAGCTAATTGTGGTTTTGTCAATATAACTGCTTTAATAAAATTAGGGCATCTGAGGATTTTTTATGGAATCACCAACATTATTAGAGTTAGGTAATTCGCATATAAGGAATTCAGATTTTTTGGAGAACTCTGACCAATTAGCCTTGTTGAAGCGCCAGTAACTGCTCACCGAAACTTGGTTATAGGTGTTGTCATGTATAATTATAGGGAAATAGTTGCTGTCGTGAAGGTCGTCCGCTGTTTGCCAGGATAAAATGGGGGCCGATTTGGGATCACATATGCTTAGATTTATGTCAGAAAAAGTACTAGAACCAATAATAAAGTGGGTGTAGCAATATAAAAGCGTTATTACAATGGAAGAATCGAGGCTTGAGTCAGTTGAATTGGCTCTTTTGAGGAGGGCGACACTCGGAGATGTAGGTTGAGGTTGATGTAAAGGTAAGTGTGTGATGTTAGATAAATTTTCGAAGGGAGAATTTGAGGCAAAAGTTTGAGAGGTGTCGAAAGGTGCCATGGGGCTATTGTTTGTGAATTTATTAGGAACGTGGGTTAATCGGTGGTGGGTAGTGGTATTCGGTGGGTTTTGGCAGGTTTTAGCCATGTGTCCGACTTTTTGGTAAAGAAAACGTTCAAGTTTTTCTGATGTCACGAAGATTCGAAAGGAAGTGTTTTCAAAATATATTAATACAGAGGTTTGTATTTCGAAATTTTCTTTATCTGGTATTATGTAGTTGGACCGTCAAAAACTTAATATATGAAAATAATAGTCATCGGGTGAGCCAGTGCGAATCTGAGATATAAGTGAGGCTAATTGCAGAATTATTTAATGCCTGTTCTATAAGTTGATTTGGAATCGATGAGCATACATTAAATATTAACAATATTTTAGTTGGGGAAATAAGTCTGCGAATGCGGACGATTTCATTTTTAATGGAAACGGTGGGACTGTTTTTGGTAAGAATATCGACGTCAGAAATAGAAGCAAGAAAGATGAAAATGCGTTGGTTGTATAGGCAGGAAGCTTGGGTAATACGCTTTGATGTTACGATTTCACCGATGACCTTAATGTAATCGAAAAGAGCTGTTTAGGAAAGTGCATTTAATAATATCGCTTACTTTATGCTAGGATTTGATCTGGTAGCCGGTGTTTATATCAATTATAAAGTTTCTTGCAAAAGTACATACCAAGTTGTTTCACAAAAAACTATTAATTTTCAATAATTACTTGATAACAAATCACATTCACTGACAAGTTTTTTATTAGAAATACTATTAGAAGAAGCCTGAGGTTGCTTTTTGAATAGAAATGATTTTAATATCAAAATATATTACTTAACAAAAAATTGCTAGAGTACATTCTTAGTCATTTATAAATATAACATCTCAGCTTTATACGTCAATAAATTCCGCAAAGGCACTTCTAGTTCTTTTTAAATTGTCAGTATTCAGCCTTAGTATCTCCCCTTAAAATGTGTCATTAATTTAATCACAAAGACAATTCCGCTTAACAATTTTATATACGAGTTATCTACGTTAATGTAATATAGCGGATATGTTGGTGTAGATCTAACTATAGCCATCATTATCTTATTTTAAGATTGATCCCATTATCGTCATTCAAAACTATTATTCCATTATTGTCGTTACAACTGCGATGGTTACGTACACTGAATTAACAAAAGTAGTTTTGTGGTGGTTTTAAAGTCGTTAGTAAAAAAGTTTAATAATTTATTGGCAAAAACACGTTTAGGATACACGAGTTAGTATGTTTCAATATTTTATTATTATTTTTAGAATTAGACACCTGTAGTATTTTATCTGTTTAAATTTTCTTTAAGATTTGTCATCTAAAATACTTCTTTATAAGTCAAACGAAAAGAATTATAGAAATCCTATATTTCAAAAAGTAATTCCTACTTATAGGCAAAACGTTAATTAAATTGTTTTTTTAAATTCCTGTTTTCTTTAAAAAATATATAAGCAAATTTTTCATTAGATTATTTGCAATACCAAACTTTGTTTATTAAATCTCGCAATTTATCAACTCAATTATGTGAAGTGAGCAATATAATATCTATATTAAGTTTTTGGATGAAATTTACTACTTTTACCTACTAACTTTAAAGCTAAGATGTGTTTTTAAGGATCCTAAGCAAGTGTTTTAACAAAACCAAAAGTAGGAATTCTATAGAATTTCATTATAATTCTTTAGAATTATCCTTTAATAATTTAAATATATGACAACATTAAAATCTATCTGATGCAGTTAGGTTTTATTTCGTTTAAAAGTCTGGAAACTTAAAACCTTATAAAAATTAAAAGGAAAAAATTCTAATGGCTAGCTGTATACTATAGTTACAGAACTTCAAATGAAGTCAAAACTTTTGATGTAAAGTAATATATACTACCTATCGGAACATCAGCAGTGAAAACACAGAAATAAGTATTTCCATGTTAAAATATTATATTTTAATTTTTAAATTTATCGTTCGGTTAATACTTACAGTAATAAGAATAGGTTAAACTAGCCACATCACGAGATCAAATGACCCTTTATATATATATATATATATATATATATATATATATATAATATATATACATATATATATATATATAGATATATATATATATATATATACATATATATATATATATATATATATATATATATATATATATATATATATATATATACATATATATATATATATATATATATATATATATGTATATATATATATATATATACATATATATATATACATATATATATATATATATATATATATATATATATATGTATATATATATATATATACATATATATATATATACATATATATATATATATATATATATATATATATATATATATATATATATATATATATATTGTTATGATGTGTTGTTTCTGTATGAGCTATGAGTAAATTTGAATGATATATGTAAGTATAGGGTTTTTATCGCGGTTCTCAAAGAATTACTTTGTAAGTACTTTTTTAAATTATCTTTATTATAACTATTATGAAACAAACATATCTATCTAATATAAGCAATATCAATTTAAAACAATCTATCTAAAATTTGAAATTCTTACAATTATTAAATTATTAACAAAATTTTGTACCTTCTTTCACTGAACGCCTAAAGTTTTTCCAAAATTAAAGTTATTATCACCACTCGATATTTTCTTACTAATCCTTGGTTATCCAACTATGTTAATATGTTCCTTCTTAATTATCTCCACTTACTATATAAATATATAAATTTAAATCCTTGTTATTTCCATATAATGTACTTTCAAATATACTGGATCTTGTGGTTGTATTATTGAATGTTTACTTCAATGAATTAACTTCATACTATCACTTTATTACTGTAGTAATAATTAATCTCAACTGTATTAGACTTAAAAATTCATTTAACTTAATCAATCCCTTCTTCTAGCTAATAATCTCTTCATTACCTCATAAGTTCTTGTTAATTATTCTTTGTAATTAATAATCACATGTAATTGACTTAATTGAATCCTTGAATTGTTATAACTAACTCCTCAATAATAATCTTGTAACTGATTTAATTTTTTCTAACTAACTCACTTAACTCAATTATTAATCTTCTTGTAACTAAATTCTTGAATTATAACTTTACTGACTCACTTTACTAACTGTAACTAACTAACTAACTGACTTCTAACTGATAACTGATCATACTGATAACTGAACTGGTAACTGAACTGGTAACTGAACTGGTAACTGAACTCTCCTCCAAATTACATGGCTTTTTATATATCCTTCCTCTTACCAGAATAATCTAGCAATAAATAATGTTCAAATCATTCTATTTGTTCTATCTGAATATTCTGGAATTGTTTTTTGTCTGTGACGTATTATGCATATACTCCCATTGACATTTCTAGAACTTTCTATTTACAAATTACTTCACTTTAGGCTCTCCAGATCAGAACTACACTATTATATGTAACTTAAACATTTATATGAAATATATTTTTACTATTCTACATCCACAATTATATTCTAAATTAACATTCCAAAAATAAATAACTTTTTGACTTTGACACTACAGTGTATGTTTGGTTGCATATGCACATGGCTGACTCAAACATATCTAATATTAAATAAAATAAAAAAAAAACTTCTTAAACTTAATTCTTATGCTAAATTCTTAAAAATACCCTCATATAATTATTTTTTAATAATATTATCTAGTATATAACTTACATATTATGTCTCTAACCACTATTTAAATAAATTTATTAATTAACATTGTATGTCTGGTTGTACATATTTCTATGTTAATTTATTGCATTTTTGCTCTCACTACAATATATATATATATATATATATATATATATATATATATATATATATATATATATATATATATATATATATATATATATTATATAATAATAATAATAGAGTTTATTTAAAACAAAATAATGTGTTACAGTATAAATTTACATATTTTATACAATAAATAAACCCAGTTACTCACAGAAGTTGTGTGTCACATGGACTACAACTTGTAAGTGAGGGTTGAATTTTTTTTAACATATTCGCACAAATTACATTTATAAAAATTCTTAGTAGTAACATACAAACTGTTTAATATATATTTAACATACATAACATAAAATTTAAAAATATAACATTCATCTGAAATTGAAGCTCATTAATAGCTGTTTATTAATTCATACAATTTATACCTATTACCATGGATCCATTCTTTTAATATTTTTTATTTTTTATAGTTGTGTATTATTCTAATGGTAGATGGTAAGCAATTAAACATTTTTGGTCCCAAAAAATCAATGCAACGTTGGCAAATGGTTTTTCTTTTTTTTTAAACTAATATCGTTAAATTTCTATTTCTGGTTTGATATGTATGGTGGGTAAAATTCAGAAATGATCTCTCATTGTATAAATATAATATTGATTTGTAGGAGTACAACTGGTTTAAATCGATGAAATGACGGTCTGTGAATAATTGCTCCACTGAAGATCTTATACCACTTCTATATATTATTCTTATTATCCAATTTTGTATAACGTTTAGATTTTTAATGTGAGCATTGTAGGCTCCACCCCATGCAATAATCCCATAGGTTAATTGTGATTGTACCAGAGAATAGTATAAAATCTTCAAGTGGTGAACATCTAAGAAGTCGCGAAGATATTTAAATTTTGAGAGTAAACCTCTTATTTTTTGGACTACATATTTAATATGATGAACCCATTTTAGGTGTCTGTCTATTACAATACCAAGGTACTTAATCTTTTCTGCTTCTGGAATTGTTGTATCGTTATCAATTTCAAGTTGGTTAAAGTTTGGTAACCCAGTGATGTATGACGAAAATGGCAAGTATTTAGTTTTTTCAATATTATGGTTATGTTGAAACCATTTTTTTATTTTTACAAAGTCCATTTCGACATTTTCCTTTAACTTTTTCCAATTATTTTTGCTATAAAAAATGGCTGTATTGTCAGCGAAACTTATGATCTGGCCTGAAGTCTGTAATTTAAGTAATGTGTTATATATATATATATATATATATATATATATATATATATAGTAAATAACAGCGGCTACAACACCGTTCCTTGTGGGACTCTGTAAGTCAGAGTTCTGGTCATGCTGATTTTACCACCTACAGTTACCTTTTGCTGTCGGTCACTTAAGTAGCTCTCTAAGAATTTGAAGGCCACACCTCTGATTCCGTAATTTTTTAGTTTGTGTAACAGTGGTTTACAGTATCAAATGCTTTAGAGAGATCTACAAATACACATAAGGAAGCTTTTTTATTATCTAAAGAATTATAAACATTTTTTATCAATTTACCAATTGCATCTTCTGTAGACCTTCCCTCTCTAAAGCCGTATTGACTTTCAGATAATATATTATTTTTCTTTAAAAAATTATTTAGACGAGACTTTATAATTTTTCTATTACTTTACTGAGATTCGAAGTCAAGCTTATTGGTCTATAGTTTCCAAGTTCACTACGATCTCCTTCACCTTTAAAATGCGGTTGAACGATACCTGTTTTTAATACATTGGGAAATATACCTAATCTGAAACATTTATTGATTATATAAGACAATGGTTTAGCAATTTGTTCTGCAACAATTCTGATCTGAGGGTATCTATACCTGGCGATTTTTTATTTTTTAGTGTATGTATAGTTTTAATGACTTCATCTTCATTCGTTGGAAATAAATATATGCTATTTTTTACATAATCAATGTCTTCAACATAATTGAGAGGTGTATCAATTTTCTCAGCATATTTTTTTCCCAAATCACTGAAATGCCTATTAAATAGATCTGCAATTTGTCCATGATCTGTTATTAAATTATCATCTGTCTTTATCTGCTCAATTTCTGTTTTAATTACTGTTGAACCACACAATTTTTTGACACATGTCCAAAGAACCATTGAAGTGCAAGTATTTTTATCAATTAAGTCATTAAAATATTTCTTTTTTGCTTTTGTTAATAATCTGCTGAGATAATTTTTGGATAATTTATATTCGTTACTGATATTCATGTCACTGGGGTGTTTCTTAGATTTTTTATACAAATTATTTTTTTCTTCAATAGCTTTTAAGAATTCTAAATTGATACAAGGCTTTTTATTTTTTTATTTTTTTCGAATCTGTACTTCCTTAGTTGTTACGTCAATATTTCGTTGTAGTGTAGTGATAAACTCCACAGTTGTATTATTCATGTTTGTAGAATTATAAACAGAGATCCAGCTTTCGCTTTTTAAATTTTGCTTTAATTGTATGTAATCAGTATATTTTTTAAACATTGTGTTTTGTTTATTTGTGGAACTAACTGAAGAGTTGATATTTCCTAATATTAATGCAATGGGACTATGATCAGTTATTTCGTAGTTAAAAATGTAAGAACTAAATTTATGTTTACTTTTTTGTGAATTTTCAATAAAGAAATGATCAAGGCACGTTTCACTGTGACGTCTTGTGATTTGGTTTATATATGATACATATCCATGCGTGTTAAGTAAGTTTTTGTACTCCGAAACATAATTATCTTCTACTAATAAGTCGATATTAATATCTGCAAAAATATTAATGTCCGACCTCTTTGTATAGCGTAAATAATTGTTAAGGCATGAATTAAATACCTTTGGGCATGAGCTTGGTAATCTGTATGTAGAAACGATTTTATTATTTTCATTTTTTCCGTAGATGTTTAATTCGATTGCTGTCATTTCAGAGATCTTAATAATGTTGTATTTATAGTTTAGATTGTTTTTTACATAAACAATAACACCATCATTTCTGTTAAAGTTACCTCTACTATATATGAGTTCGTATTCCTGTATTTGAAATATATTGCAATCAAGGAGCTGTAAAGTTTCCGTTAAAATAATAATTTCAAAATCAGATGTAAAATAACTGTAAAGATGTAAAAAAACAATAAATTCGTCAAAGTTTTTTTGGACGCTTCGGATATTCATATGCAGTACTTTTAAGGGTAAATTGCTATTTTTACTAATATGATTGAATTCTCATATTGTATTGATTGTTTGAGCTTTAATTTCATTGTTATTATAATTACGTATAAATGGATCCATGTTAAAATTTTAATAAACTGGTATATTAGTATTAAATACACCTATTTATTAGATGAACGTAACCTAGAAAACTGCCTTGACTTTTGGTTCTCAATAGACTTATTTTTCACTTCTTTTTCTATATTCTTCTTTGTGTTGTTACTCTTGATCGAATTAGATATTTTTGGGTGTTCCTATTGATTATTCTTCAAATACTGATATTTCTGCTTTAGTCAACTTTTTGATACTTGGTGTATTCGGTTCACTATTTGTTTGGTTTATATTTTCCTCTGTATCTTGCAAGTCTTCTAAAGAGTAAGAACTTTCGTCTACAAAAAGTGTATTGCCTTTTATGTAGCTTCGAGTATTAGAATTCTGTCGGCCAAGTTTAAGATGGTATTTTAACATTTTCTGCTCTTCTCTTTGCTTTTGGGTATAGTCGTGAGTTATGTTTATGGTTGTTCCTTTCAATCTATTGCAATTTTTAAGAACTTCTCTTTTCTTTATATTTGACACGAATTCTATTTTAATCGGATTATTTTGAGAATTTTTAGACGAGATAAAGTTGTTAATATCAAACAAATAAATATTGCTATCTAGTAATTCCCTCAGCTTTTCACAAATCAGTGCACGAGATGCAAAACTCGCTTAATGCATGTAAAGTCAATTTGAGAAAAGTGCAAAAAACGTTTTTTGCATTGTATTTTTTAATAACCAATTAATGATGTTAGCGTGCCTTTAGAACATATACACCTCTAATAGTTTTTAGCATATTTTAAAAAAATAGTGCAGATTTTTTAAATAAATGAAGAAAAAAGAATGCATTTAGCGAGTTTTGCACCAAAAAAATGTTACATCAATAGTTTAAAACAAATTTTATTCACAAAGAAATTTAACAGTGATTTACATATTACATTAAATTGGTAAATTAATATCGCTAGGTTTTAAACCACTGCAGCCAGCTTCAACATCGTTTACAGAATTTTGGTTTTCCACCATTCGAGGTTTAACAAGATTTTCTTTAAAGAAAACCAAATCAGGATTTTCTTCCCAGGCGTTTCCATAATGTTTTTTGAGAAGAGAAATTATTGTCGATTTATCGCCTTTGAGTTTGCAGCCAATAGGAAGTTGAGTAGGATTGATACGTGTCAATTTTATTCCTCTCTTGACAACAGACTTGGCTTCACCGACGTCAACACAATAATTGGGCTCACCTCGTATTAGTGCATTGGTTTTCCCTTTAGTAAGCACAAACCTTTTAGCCTTAGTAAACTGAAAGTGCCATGAGGATGGTGCTTTGGTGTTTACTTGTGCTTCATTCTTCCAGTCATAGACCTTCCAATCTAAACCCAATTTTCTAATTGTCAACTTATTTACTATAATATCTTCGTAGTCAGAAGTTTTTAAAATAATGGATTTCTTTTTAACCTCTCTTTCAATTATTCCGAATAACCTATCAGGTGGTATAAAAGAATGTCCTACTACGGGGAATATTATGTTAATGGTCTTTATGTTTTTGGGAGCTTTCGTCATCAACCAAACAGAAAGCATGGTCATCATTATAATATTCTTATTTTGCCCCCCACATCCATCAACAAATAAACGAATTGTATCGATTTCATTGGGAAAGTTAAACTTACTCAGTACATCCCAAACAGCTGAAGCTATCGAATTAGAATTTTTGGGAAAATCAACCTCCGTCCAAACATAAGAATAAACATTTTCTGGAACCAACTGTGCTGCTGATGATCCATGAATTACCGTAAAGTTGTAATAGTTAATTTGTTGACTAAAATAACTAGCTTGATCCGGAAGCTTCGGCAAAGGCAAATTTTTGATGTAAAGCAGGGACACTTGAAAATTAATTGACAAAAAGTCGTTAATTATAATTGATGCGATATTGTGTAATTAATTAATTTCGCGAATAGTACATTTTCAGAAAAACCCAAATAAATCGAAACCGGTCAAAAATAGGTATAGGGAATGTTGAATAAAGTAACATTATTTTGTTCAGTAGAATTCAAAATTAAAGTGAAATATAGGTTATTCTATTCAAAAAAGTATAAGTTTATATCATTACGCCAAATTGGGACACCCTGTATATATCTCAAAAATTTTAATTTGTAGCCGGTATTGACCTACGTATTCCTACAAAAGGAATTTTTAATATCTTTAGCCATTTCCCCGGTAGGCTCCGTCTATATATATATATATATATATATATATATATATATATATATATATATATATATATATATACATATATATATATATATATATATATATATATATACCTAAATATATATCTATATATATATATATATATATATATATATATAAAGTGATTTTTATTTTAGTAAGTTTAACATCAATTTTTACCCTTGATTTAACAAACAAACAAGTTTGAAAAAAAATTTTACACTTATTGTGTATTTTAAATGGGACAAATATTTCAATTCGCATAAAAACCCAACAAAAAACCCAGTGATATCTGGATAGCACTGATGATGGAATATTAATTTCGAAGTCGTTTCGTGATGTAGGGATATCGATAGGGTGTTTAAATGTATGTATACCTTTAATAAAGGAACGTTTAAATATATTTTTGGTGATACATGGTATACAGCCAGCTACACGAACTTAGTTTCCTTGTGGACTCTTTAATTAATAAAACTGAAACAACTTTTTTGAAACAAAAAAGAGCCCTAAAATTACATGTTTTGCAATAACCTGATACTCATACTAGCAATTCTTTAAACGAATCACCGACATCATAACAAAATCAAGAGAAAACGTATTTTTCTATACAAAACATAAACAATTTAAAAAAATATTTAAATATAAAGCAATCAGGATCTTACAATATTTGATGCAAAATTAATATTTATGATTTAGGAAGTTATATGTTAATATCCATATTTAAAAAAATACCTAATTTACTTTTTTACAATTTTCAATTAAATCTTTGTTCAATTTTGTTCAATTATTAGCTGAACTTTTTTAAGACTTTTAGTTACGCCATGACAAATGTCTATTTTGTTTCTTATTAATAAAGTGGAAAAATTGTTTAAAATAAAAAGCATGAAACATGTAGATATATTTACTCACAGAATTCTCAATTATCTTAATTGGCAAGGTCAGTGCTGTCAACCTCTCCGTTCTTAAAAATGTACAATTTTATGTACCTGCATAAATTTGGTATTATTTGGTTGGACTTTTTGTGTCATTTATAAAATTGTTTTATTCCTAGGTAAATTTATTAAACCATGAATAAAGCTGGAGAAGAAAAATGTTTGTCTAATTCAGCAGAACATAGCCACCATGAAACAGCAAGTGAAAAAGTCAAGGCCAGAGGACAATGGAGCAATAAAACAGAATTTATATTATCTATTCTAGGTTATGCTATTGGGCTTGGAAACATATGGAGATTTCCATATCTATGTTATAGAAATGGAGGAGGTAAATATATTTGCGTATAAGTATTACACATACAATGACTTTTGCATGTGACATTTCATTTGCTTTAAGAACGTTTGAAAACATCATGGCATGACGGTATTTAAAATACCGCTTCTCTAACGAAGTCAACGAAACTATATATTTCAGACATAGCTACATTAAGAGGTTATTACTGGGTGTTAAAAGATTACAATACAATATAAGTTTGTGTACAGCTAATGTTATATATACTTGCTTTTTGATCGATCGTGACAAATTAGTAAATTTGGCTTATAAAAACCAATCATAGAATTCTTACACTACGTTAACATCAAGTATATTAGCGTTAGTTCAGTGTGTATTGTAAAACATTTTCTGTGAGTACCTATTTTTATATTAATAAGTAATTCATAATTACCAATTACCAAAACACCAAGCGGAACTGGTCCGTACTTAGGAAAATTAAAATGTGTTGAGAAATGGAATTTGACGTCACCTATCATGGCGATGAATTATTATCGCAATCCACATTACAAAAACCTTTATCTTACTCAGCTGCAACCAGCAAACAACAAGAACTATCCCGCATAAGGCAATAGAAAACAAACTACTGATCTTAGGGCTAAAACCAACCTAGTTGCTCAGTAAATGTAAATCACTTAGACACAGCCGTCCCAACTGCTACAGTTTTAAACAGAAACAAATCTACTACAGTGACTTCAACACAAACGACTGCTATTACACCTTCAACAACATGCATCCCTACAAACATATCAAATAATTCAACGTCACCAACAAAAATATTATCTACAACCAACCTGACATCTCTTGACACATCAACTACAGATAATACAATGCCATTGATATCCAAACCAAATTTTCCCACCTCATTAGCCCTATCACCCCACACAATCATAACTAACCAGCCTTCACCTTCCAGTCTAAACAATAATTCTTTCTCGGTTAATAAAAATAAAGAAAATCCAGCACCAAAAGAATTTAGCGTATCCAACTAGGAAAATACATCTAATTCGTCCTCCAAACGAACTGTATCTAAAGCAATATCACCCCTGATTGAGACATCAGCTAGTGACGTTGTATTTTCAAAGCCAACTCAGAAACAAAAAAGAATAAAAACAAAAATATCAACAATACCTTTACAAACGCTAATGCAACCAATTTAATAATTATTCAATTCCTTAAAGCAAATATTAACTTTTGAGGAAACGGTTAATTTATTTGAAAACACTCATGGAACAAAAGATGTTATCAGCGTTATAAATACATATACAGTAGACATTCCAGAATTTAGACAACTCCTAACCAAAATTCATTCATATACATTCGAGCGCTCATTAAAATTGAAATGTACAAAGCTAAACAAAATAATTATCTGACACAGATACATCGACTAAATTATTCCAGGAGCTAAACATTCAAGAATTTAACTATAACATTTAATTTATTACAGTGGAATATAAATGGGTCTTATACCCAATACAAAATGCTAAAACTTTTAATTAATGATGTTACCCCCGCTATCATTTGTCCAAAAAACGAATTTCAAAGACCAATATTGCCACATATTTAAAAAAAATTTAACATTATTTAAAAATAGAAACAAGCAGGAAAATGGAAGTGGTAAAGTGGCCATTTATGGTATAAATACTCTTGAAGCACAAACGATTCCTCTAAAAACAGACATCGAAGCTACAGCCGTCAGTCTCACCTTAACCGACTTAAAAGCACTTATTACACAAATACCTATGCGAACGCTAATGGTAGGAGATTTCAATTGTCACAACCCAATGTGGAGCTCAACAAATTTTAATATCAAAGTCAGACTAATCGAAGACTTGTTAACTGAAAAAAATTTATAAACATTCTCAATAATGGAAGACCAACAAGATTTAATGAACATACTGGTACAACATCGGCAATCGATCTATGGATTTGTGACCCAACTCTTTCAATGGCTCTTATTTGGGATCCCCTACCCTTTTTATATGGGAGCGACCATTACCCAATAAAAATTTCTGTATTTTCTGATGACACTATCTCTGAATACCAACCAGTCTAAAAATGGAACCTGAAAAAACTCTAACTGGGATAAGTATACTGATGCCATAGAAACAGATATAGAATAACAAAAATCTGGATTTGAAAACACTTATATAAAAAATGAAACTCTCAACATTTTTACGATTATTTTTACATACGTGGCAGAAACACATAAAGAAAAAACCAGAATATTAAGGAAATACAGAAAGCATCTTTTATTAGAATGAAAAAAACAGAGAGTACATGCTCGATATATAACAAAAAAAGCTTGAAAAACCAACTGGAGAAAATTTGTCTCAAATATAAACAGTACAACAACTTTGTCTACAGTCTGTTTCAATATTCAAAAAATATCAAGCAAAAACAAATTTTATCAAGTGCCTTTTATTACTCATAATAATAATGTAATAACAAAAACTAACGAAACAGCTGATGCTTTTGCTACATACTTCGAAAAAAACTTCAGCAATAGCAACTATACCGAACAGTTTATAAAACACAAAAAATCATCACAGAAAAACAACAGCTCTATTCTGAAGATAGAGATAATAGTTCCTTCAATATTCCTGTAACCCTAGATGAACCTAACTTTGCCCTTATTACTTCAAAAAACTCTGCTCCTCTTCTACTCTTCTAAAAATTTTCAATCGAATATGGTTAAATAATGTCGTTCCAACTTCTTGAAGTGACTCAATAATTATACCTATTCTCAAACCTAACAATGCACGGACTAAAATTTCCTCATACAGACTCATCTCTCTCTCACCAATGTAATGTGCAAAGTCATGGAAGAAATAGTTAATAAAAATTTGCTATGGATATTAGAAGCAAATCACCTTCTGGTTAATGAGAAAATTGGATTTCAATAAAATCGAACTACTACTGATAACCTCATTGATTAAGAATCTGATATTCCTAAATTTTTCGCGAAAAAGCAGGAAATTATTGCAACATTCATAGACATAACTAGACCATTTGACACAGCATTGAGTTATGACATTATTAGATTATTACACACTTGAAATATTAGAAAAAATATCATTAACATCATTTCAAATTTTCTTAAACAATGCAATTTTCAAGTAAGAGTCAACCACTGCACGTCTTCAACAAGACGTCAAGCTAATGGGACCCCTTAGGGGTGTGTAATAAGCGCAACGTAATTTTTAATTGCCATGGATAATAATATAGCATCAAACTCCAGCTTAGTTCGTGGCAGAATATATGCGGATGATCTGTTATTAGTATCTTCAGGAAAAAAACATCTCACCAGTACAGCGTCACTTACAAACCTCACTGTATGAACTGGAAAACTAGTCGAAGAAAACAGGATTGCAGTTTTCACTTAGCAAATCAAAGTGTTTGTTATTTTTAAAGAAACGTGATCCGGTCAAACCGCAACTAAAATTGTGTACCCAAAGCTTGATATATGCCGATGACATTAAGTTCTTAGAGATGATTATTGATACGAAACTCACATGGAAAAAACACATTCTACAAATAAAAAAACATGTCCAAAATGAAAATAATCTCATAAAAACTCTATCTCATAAAAACTGTGGAGATGACTATAAGTGCTTAATCCATGTTTATAAAACCCTAATTAGATACAAAATCGATTATGGTTCCATAGTATATGCATCTGCTAAAGAATACCTATTAAACTACCTTGACGTAATCCAAAATACGGCCTTAAGAATAGCTGCAGGAGCATTTCGGATTAGCCCAATAGAAAGTTTACGAGCAGAAACTGGAGAGCCATCACTTAAATATAGAAGGATGCACTTATCTCTCACATGGGTATTTGTTGTTAATTCTAATGCAAACAATCCATCTAGAAGTACCATATTTACCAATCGTTTTAAAAACCTATATACTGAAAATAGGAACACGAAACTACCATTTTACGAAAGAGTTGGGCAAACCCTTAGAACTTTACAAATTTAGATAGCAAATATGTATTCCAACTCCATAGAAATTCCTCCTCCTTAGACATTAAGCATTCCTCAATCCGATACATTTTTAAATATCTTCATAAAGAACGATACTCCACACTACTTAATAAAAAAATACTTTCATCAACAACCTAACAAAATTTTCTATACAAAATTTTCTTAACAAAAGTCCTATCATATATACACAGACGCTTCTAAAACATCTACTGGAGTTGGGGCAGTTGCCATTACTCCAAATATTACACTTGAGCATAAACTACCATCTTTAAGCGGTATACATACTGGCGAGTTATACGCCATCTATTATGCTCTCGTTCATATTAACTCCAGTAATATATCCAATGCTCTTGTAATTACCGATTCCCTCAAGTAGAAGTACAACGTTTGGATCACTATAGAGATAGGGAAATCAATGTGTTAGAGAGAGAAGTATTTTTGTAGTGAGTAAGAGTGAGATAGATGACGTTACGTCGAAGGAATCTCCTCAACCGTAATTCAACTATTGTCCGCTAGGTGACGCGTAATTCAACTATTGTCCGCTAGGTGGCGCCGCCAGTTTCAATCCAATTTTAAATTAAAATATTAAATAAATTAAAAATTTTAAACAAAGAAATCTACATTACCGACTGTCATAGTTCAGCTATCCGCTAGTTGGCGCCGCCAAACATTCGCCATTTTTAGTCCAATGTAAGCTAGTTGGCGCTATTTTTTAAATTAAAATATTAAATAAATTAAAAATTTTAATCTAACTTTTATAGTTCTGTGCGGAACGCTCTTCTTCTTTTTGTCAACTGTTAATTCTTGTTAGGGTCAATAATCGAGACATAACAGATATGAAATAAAAGGTGTAGTAAATTAAATACCAAAATATGTTAAACATTTCTTTATTTTTTCTTAGAATAACGTTACACAATGTTTTTCTTTTTATTCTTTCCGCAACTGCCAATTCTTCTTCTTTTTTCGTAGAGTTATGGACAATAAAGATTGTAGGTATGTAGTGCCTAA